GTTCTGGCTACCGTAGCCTGGAAGGAAATGGGGGAGATCCACAGATTACCCCCCTTGTACTCATAGAAGCAGACCTGTCCCTGTTATTCCTTCTAACTTGCCCCTCCGCTCTGTGTGTAGGTACAGGAGAGTCTATAAGGTACACCAGGATGTCTGCTACAAGGAGAGCTGCAAGAGCACCGGTTCCGAGACAACAACCAGCAGGTAAAGCTAGCAGCAGCAGACCAAGCACTGTCCTTCCTGTGGCCCAGGACAGGGCGATGCAGTCAGACAGTGTCACTGAGCATGTGTGGGGGTGCCTGGGCTTAGCCTGGACTGGGAGAGGCACTCCATGCAGAAGAGGGTGCAGGGAGCACACAAGAATGGCTCAGACACCAGCTCTGCACTGCCCTCCCTGAAAGTGATGGCTGACAGCACTCTCCTCTCTTCTCTTTCAGAAAACCAAGCACCAGTCACACACTGAGGAAGTCCTAAAGTAAGTACCTGCTCTAGACACTCCTTAGCCATGGGCAAAGAGGGGCAGCTCCTGCATATCCCACACAGGGAGCTGGGGAGGATAGGGGGGGAAGCCAGAGCACAGTCCAGGCTCACACTGCCATGCTGATGGGGCATGAGGGCTCTCCAGCTCCTACATTGGTTTGGCTTGGGCATGCGGCTGAGGGCTCCCGGTTGTGGTGGGGTGGAAAGGCAGAAGGGAATGCCCTGCTTCCCTGTGGCTTTACAGCCCCATGAAAAATAGATTCCTGCAAAGAAAGAGGCTGGGCACTGGAGGGTGCAGATCCCCCATCTCCCAGTCAGAGATGTGTGCATAGAGTGGGAAGAGGCAGCTGCAGGGCTTTTGGGGGACTGTACATACCAGCTTATTCTCCTCCTGCTCCTTCACAGGATTCAAACAAGTAGAAGCTTCATCTTTCCACTTCTAAAGGGTTTTCTTTGTAACACCAGGAAGATCAGATCTGCTCACTGGGTTGAACACAGCAGGGGAACCTTCCTGCTTGGCATCAGCCTCTCCTTCTCCAGGCAGTCAGGGATTCACAGCCAGATAGGCATACTGAGCAGCACTCCCTTCCCTCCACTGGACCAGCACTGCCTTTGCTCTGGCTTGCCTTACTCTAGCTGTCTCTGCCCCACAAGGAGCTGAGCGCTGGTGTCCTGCAGCAGCTGGCTGACTGCCCCCCAAGTGACCAGCCCTACTGTCCCCCCCCCCACCACCAGCTGCTCTGCACGAAGGCTTCCAGCTCTGCTCAGGCTCCCTGCCAACGGCATCTGCACCAACCTGTTTTTGTAATCCAAAGCTATAAATTACCCATAACCCCTAAATAAAACAGTTTAATGCAGACCAGAAAGCTGTAGCTATCACCTGAAATATGAGCCCATAGCAATCTAGTTGGAGGAGACTTTCCCAGTGTAGACAAGCTAGAAATGGGGAGCAACTCCCCTTAGCAGTGAGGGGAGCACAGGCACTGGAGTCGCATCCCCATCTCCTCTGCTCTAGCGGGGGAAATTGAGGCAGCTTCTCCTGCCTGCCTGTTTCCTTTGCTTTGTAAACAATCCCTGGTTTAACCAGCTTTCCAGTTTAGAAAGCAGTAGAGCACCTAGAATGAATTTTAAGTGTTCTGTACAGCAGAGTTTCAGTCATAACACCATGCTATGTGCCTCTAAGACAGTGCAGGGCACAGTACAGGCTCAGGGACAAAGCGGTGCCCCCTGCCACCCCCCTGAGCTGCTCACAGCATTTCTGTTCCCCACAGAGGAGCAAACCAGCACGCAGCACTGCCCCACCAGCTGCAGCAGGGCAGGCAAGGAAAATTGTAGCTTAGAAACATTCCTAGTTTTTGTTTGTACGACAACACTAGTTAAACATAGATTTGTGTATTACCATACACAGTGTATATTATAAATTAATACATACCAGAGATATATCGTAGTTATGGTATAGAGTGTTATTTCCCCAGCAGCGTTCTGCAAGCATTGCAGGGTGCTTTGCTCTTCAGCCACATATATCAAGCTGCAGCCCAGAAGCTGCTCTCAGCGCAGAACAGGCCCAGGACTTTCAGTGCTCCTGGCACCATCCTCTCCCTCTCAGTAGCAGCTGCCCAGGCTTTGGGGAGCAACAAGGACACTGTAAAGCCACAATCAGAAGGGCCAGGTGATGTGCCCCGCAACATGAGCACTGCAATCCTGCTTCCCCTGGACATGAAAAGAAGCCAGCCCCTGCCAGGAAGAGCAGAGTAAGGGGAAAGCCACACTAGCCTCTGCTATCCACAAGGGAGGGGAAGTTTTGGGGCCATGGTCAGAAAGTGTATGCACCCCAATCTTGTCAGCCATGAAACCAACATGGACTGCAGCAACAGCAGTGGCCCTGCCATGGGATAGTCCCATGATCTGCTCCTGCAGTGACAGGCAGCATGGTGCCGCTGTGAGCCGGCACAGCAGCCTGCCACTTCCTGCCCCACCACCAACACACTATGTACTGCAGCCAGAAAATTTTAACCTAGCCTTGGAAATAAATTAGTTATTTTGATTTTCTTTTCCAAATAAAAACACTTTATGGAAACTGGATTTTTTAAAGTAGTTGGTCAATGAGGAGGAATGAGAGTTATTACTGCATTTTTATACATGGGATTTATTTTAATCCCTCAGTGGGGCTCCAACACATGGAGCCCTGCAGCCACCAAGGCATGTGCCTGTGTAGGGTGGGGGCCCTGAGCACCCACAAGTGCAGTGGGACCTGGGAGTGCACTAGCATAGGAGAGCACGGGCATCTTGGAGCCTCACCTTCTCACTCCCGGGCTGGTTTACTTCCTTCACTATCAAAGTCTTCATCTTCCTCTGTGTACAGAGCATCCCTGTTCTCCTCTTCTTCTTCCTCCTCTTCCTCCTCTCGAGCCAGCAGTTTCTTGAAGACCTCAAACTCCTCTGGAGTAGAGTGGGCCAGGTTGGCCAGGAAGTCTTTCTCCGATAGCTGAATGATGTCCTTCAGTTTGGGGTTATTAGTTTGGGTCTGGCCTTTGTACGGGGTCTGGTAGAGGCCCCGGCGCTCCAGGAAGATGTGCCGGTTCCTGAGCTCAGCAAAGGGCATTCGGAAAAGGCGGGCCTTCACCATCTCCTTCTGCTGGACTCCCATCCTGAAGTACACGTACTGCGGGCGGGACGGGGTGGCTCATAGTCTCCGGGCCCTGGTACCCACCACGCAGGAGACGCGTCCCCCGTGGCCGCCCCCCTCACCTGGAAGTGGTGGTGGAGCTGGTGCGGCTCCTCCAGCAGCACGTTGGGACAAGTCCATAGCACCTCCCGGAGCTGCTCCGCTGTGAAGAGGCACCGCTCCCGCAGCAGCCGCACCGCCGCCGCCATCCTCTTCCGGGGCAAGGTGAAGAGCTCGGGGCAGCGGATCAAGGCCCGCTGCAGCTGACCTGCGGGCGCCGGCGTGAGCGGGACGGAAGGTGCCGCTTCCCGGTTACCGCCATCCCCGCGTACCCCCGCTGCTCTGCCCTACCTCCGTCGAGCCCCAGGCGCCGAAGCTTTCCCGCGCGCTCCTGCAGCTGCTCCGTCGGCATCCGCAGAAGCTCCGGCCTCCGCTCCAGCAGGCCGAGGGTGGCTTCGGCGTTGAGCCCTAGCAGCAGCAGCTGAGCCACCGCCGCCTCCCGGCGCTGCGGACTGAGCCGGGACTCTACGCCTAGGAGCCGCTGGGCCTGCTCCTGGCTGAAGCCCATGGCCCGCAGCCCCGCCGCCTCCCCGCAGGAGCGGCGGGGGCACAACCCCGCAGCTTGCACGCAGCCACGCAGCAGCCGCCCCGCCATGCCCGGCACAGCGCGGCCGCCGCGGGGAGGGGCCGCGGAGGCTCCGCCCCAGCAGCCGGGGCACGGGGTAGTTCCGCTCCCGCTGCGAGCAGCATTGAAGGCCTGGGCAGCTTGGAAAGAGGCGGTGCTGGTGTGACCTTTTTTTCCCAGGAGAAAGCGCAACTGCCCTAACCGGCCTCTTCCCGGGCCACTGGGGTAAACTCGCCCTCAGCAAAGCAGTCGCGGTAACCCACGGGGAGAGTGCAGAGCGGCAGTGGCAAAACAGTGCAGGGAGCCTGTAATGGAACAAGGAGCAGCCCGATAGGTGCCACTCTCTAAGACTCAGCCCAGAAAGCGCCTTGGAAAGGAAGGTCTTCCCAAAGTCGATCCCGGTGCTGAGGTGATTTCTGCCACGGGAACGAGGCAATAGGGAACTATCCCCCAGTCAGGGCAGAGGAGAAGAGGTCCAAGCCCTGGAGCCAGGGTGCAGCCTTCCTTCAGTGCCACAGTTAAGCTGCAGAATACATTTTACCACGAAGTTACAATGCAATAGGATGGTTTGGGTTGGAAGCGCATGTTAAATCTCAGCCAGCTCCAACCCCCTGCCATGGGCAGGGACACCTTCCACTAGACCAGGTGGCTCCAAGTCCTGTCCAACCTGGCCTTGAGCACTGCCAGGGATGGGGCAGCCACAGCTTCTCTGGGCAACCTCTGCCAGGGCCTCAGCACCCTCACTGTGGTTTTTTTTTTCCTTTTTTCCTAACCCTAATATAAATGTGTTCAGATGGAGGTAACAGAGTCAAAAGCTGGATTCCAAGAGCTAATCTTTAATATTTTAGCTGGCTTTAAGAGCCTTGATTTTCCAGCCAAGTCCTCTTGCTTCTCCACTGAGATTATGTCTGACACCAGCAGCAGGCATGAGAACTGCTGCATTTCCCATCACTTACTTTCAGGAAGTCTGAGTCTGGCTGAGCTGCACACTGAAAGGATTTCATGTCAGTATTGTGAATTAGTTCAAGTTCTTTGTAATCTATTTTTTTTATTTCCAGCATCTTTGTCTCATCAAAATCAAGGACTATTGATTATATCGGGGGGGGGGGGAAGGGACACCCCCATCATGGAATTCTCTTTCAGAATGAGTGAAACTACATACACAAAGTAAAACCAGCCAATAAAAATAATACATCCTGAGTGATGAACAATTTAAACAAGACACTAAAATCTCTGTCTCACAACTTTAAATCACATCCTGTGTAAGAACAGTAATAAATGCTTATGGCTAGAAGGCTTTCTAGAGGAATTGAGCCCAGGCAGAGCAGCTTAAGGCTGCTCAGTACTGACCACCAGATCTTTCTACATGAGAGACACAGCAGCAATCTAAGGCTTACAGTTCATTTCTGTTGATTCTTGAATAAGGAAGTTATTGTTCTACAGGGAGGGATTTGTGCTGTGGAGAAGAATGGCAGCCAAGTTCCAGGCCCAAGCCCTGGCACTCCACAGCCGCTGCTTCTCCCCAGTGGGAATATGCATGATCAGTCAGGAGCATTCAAGACTGGCTCACTCTCCATGTGAGGAGCTGGGAGCTTGTCTCCATGCACCCACTCACCCGAACCATTTCTGAATCTGCTGCTTTCTAGGGAGAAAGACTGAGGATTGAACCACAGGTCCTACCCGACAATGAGCATACTTTCAAACTGAGCGCATTTGGATAGCAGTTGGTGACCTGGTGAGAAGTATCTTGCTAACCACAGTTCAGTCTTCTCTTAGAAATCATTCCTCAGTGGGCCCTGGGTGGGGGAGAAAGCCTTCAGGACAACATCTCACCTGTCTCAGCAGAGAGATATACCTCCTCCCAGGCATAATCACCCAGGTTCACAGGCTGCTTCAGCCATTGATCCTCTACTAACATCACCAGAGTCATGCGCTGCTCTGGAACAGGATGCAAAAGGCCAACCATGAGATTCATGAGACCTGGGCAGAGAGAAAGCAGTAAGAGGAATGGCTCAGGCTATATTTTAGGCATGCTGGGAGTGCAAAATATGGTTTATATTCAAAGAATGCAGATCATAACTACAAATCCTCCCCATTAAACCCTGGTGCTGTACTGTTTTATCACAGTCTTATTCACATGTGCTCAGGTCTGGGAACACTCTGAGATTTCCAGGTTGTGAAAACAGAGAAATGAGCACAGAGTTATGATACTGAGGAGGACAGAAGTAGAAACAAATGCCACAGAGGCCACCCTGACTCACTGTTTCCAAGCCCAGTCTTATCCTGCAGTCATCCCGTGTTTCCTATGTGACTAAATATGCACTTCAGGGGTCAGGGAAAGCTTCAAGGATTTATCAGTCAATTGCAGCCCCCTCAAGCCTTATAACCACAGTGCTCCTAAGGACCCCTGAGGATTTGTTGGAGATTTTATTAGTCTGACATGTAATTAGCATTCTATACCTCCAACAGAAAACAAGGCCAATGTATTTTTCCTGTGAGGTCAAGCCATACAATTCATTCGGAAGTTATAAATCCACACACTACCATCCATTGCCAAAGTGACAATGGGTTGACTGGTAATAGTTCAATGACATAAAACTTGCTTTAGAGTTACGTGACTGCCATTTCTGATCTTAAAGTTATCTACTAGACTGATCCTTCCCATCAGGTATTATTTGTTCTGGTTTTCTCAGGTATAAACCTCACTGAAGCTTGACCGGCTGATAGTTGATTCATCATAATACATGGATGCCCTGGAATTTGAAAGGATAAAACATAGGGCAGACAGCTGTGTTCATCACAGGCACTGAAGAACTGCAGAACTTACCAGAAAAGGATACCCTGGGTAAATCTGCTGCACTGAGCAGCTTTTACAGTCATTGCAGAGCACATTTTGAAGCATTTTTTCCAGTCTTCCCTTTTATTTCTGGAGAATAAATATTGCTCATACCTTCCCAAGAGATCTGTTCCTTTAGAAAAGCAAATGGCAAAAAGTTACCTTTTGAGACAGGCCGAGGAGGATTCAGGACAGCTGCCATGGCCTCCTCCAGCTCACAGAAGGGATTCTCTCCAAATACTAGCGTATAAAGGGTGACACCAAGTGACCACATCTCCAGCTCAGGGCCACGGTACCTATGCAGAGATAAACTTGCCTAAACTCAGACTGCACATACGTAATAGTGTGCTGAAGAAAGTAAAAATAGTCAATAAATTAAAAAAAGTAAAAATAGTCCAATAATAGTAAATAAAGTCAGTTGATAGCTCTTATTTCCAATTTCTGTTTTAACATAGGAGGTTTCTGAGAATTCTAATAAGGTTCTCACATGTTTTTGAGAAGTCATCTTCATGTTATGCCTCTCCATGAAAGAAAAACAACCAGAAGAATGGCCAACCAGTTTCAGTTAATGAGTATGTAAAATATGCATGTAGACTTCCACGTGTGTAAGCTGGTGACAGGAAAACTTAATCATCCTCCTTCTTCACCATAAGCCAAAATTATCAAGTAAATATTTAAATGGAAGGTCAGACACCTCAGTGGAGTCTCATTTACCTCCTCCCAACCTTTTCAAAGCAAGTGTTTTCTGGAAATAAACATTATTGAGATTCTATCTGATAAAAAGGGAGAGTTTCTTCACACAGTAACAGGCTGAATTCCCAGGGCAGCACTGCATTTTCCAGCTCATTCCCAGCAGGGATTTCCTCTCCTCCTTGCATTGCTTCCCCCTTTCCCATTAAGAGAAGCTGCTTGAAGGACCTATGAGAACAGCTGTGAACTGAGAGCAAGATAATATACTTGCATGTACAATTAATGTTTATCACCCTGTGATGATAAGGCTTCCCTCCAGGGGTGAGTATGAGACTGCCAGCCTCCAGGTAAAGAGCACTTGGAGAAGGAGAGAATAGGGAAAAGCCAGCTAAGATTTGGGCAGAATATCCAAGACAGGAGCACGACAGGATGGAAGGGAAGAATCCTTGAGTTCAGAGGAGCACAAACATAATGGGGAGATGAACAATGATCAAACTGCAAAAAATTCATACAGGGAAGCAAGTGGGAAGGAAGGGAGCATACAAGATGAGCATTGGAGAAGTACAAAACACAGACATGGTAAGGGGCAAATTAAAAAGCAATACTTGCTTATACCATCTCTATAGAAGAGCAGCTTTTGGTAGAGACCCATGAGTGTGTAGACACAGGTATGAAGAGAAGGTTAGCAAGCTGATGTACATGTTACGAAAGATTAAGGAAAAGGACACATTCAAGTGCAACCCAATTCATCTAAACTCTTCTACCAGGCTGGTAATTAAACTCGGGCTTGTTCTTGAACTTGGCTCTGCAGTAGGACAGACATTAGTACAAAGCTTTGCAAAACATCTGACCAGAATCAGACAGCCTGTCAACAGACTTAATCAGAAGAAACTTTGTACGTTTTCAAGCCTTTAGAACTAGTTTCTGTCACCACAGTGCCCTACTTTATATACATTCAAACCTTTACAAGTAATTTCTGTCACTGCAATGCCCTAAATCTCACTGCAGTTTTCTGTGGTTAGATATTCTAGTAGAGCACCAATGGCAAAGCAGCTTGGCTTCTCTATTCCACAATTTTTGGTGCAATGGACACAAAAATGACTTTTCAGAGGGTGACATACGGTTTGCCAGACAGCACTTCTGGTGAGCAGTATTCAATTGTCCCACAGAAGGTATAAAACAATTTGCTGGGTTCCAGGTAGGCAGCTGAACCAAAGTCCACTAATTTAATTGTGAAATCTTCAGCAATGACAATGTTTTCATCCTTGATATCTCTGTGAAGGATGTTTCTATAGTGAAGATACCCAACAGCTGATACAATCTGAAAGAGAAGGAAAGAACTGGGTGTTACTATACCAAGGTGTCCTGGATAATCTATGTGGCATCACTCAGTTTCAATAGCCACGTTTTGGCTTTTTTATATATATATATATATATATATATATATATATATATATATATATAAACAAGATCCTAATTTTGGTAACAGAATACAAACTCAGGCATGTCTGTCAGCTTTGCTGCAGTAGGGTATCTATCTTGGGAGAGACTTAAAATAGCCTTTGCTTGCTTTCCTCTCACAAATGTGCAGGAAGATGGCATATGTGCTTGTTTTTTTTGGTTAGAATGTGCTTTTTTTTTTTGGTTAGAAGCATCAGAGCTTACTGTTACATTCGTGCAGGTTACTCTATTTTTATCCCAGCTTCATTCAGAGGGTCCTTTGATTTATCCAGAAGCATATTACTGTGTGCCTCCAATAATGCAGGATGACAAAGCATTTAAGAGTGAAGCTTGGTATAAATAATAAAGTCACTCCTAATTTCCATTCTTCTTTCTGCACGATTCATGCTGTAGTGTCATAATTAAGAATAGCATCAGAATTTTATCACCTTGGAGACAATCGTGATTCCTACCATAATACATTTGAGCAAGAAAAGCAGATGGCTAAGTAAAAAAAGTTTCTATTTATAATACAAACCCCCCTCTGCAGACAAATACTGTCCAGGTCTGAGGTAATGGAGCACCCCTACAGACTTAAGGTTGATTTAGGAGAAGGGCTTATCCATCACAAATCTAAAGGGACCATTGATTGCAATTTCCACCTTCCAGCAGCACCCCAGGCAAGGGGAGTGTTCAGTGTGTTACCAAGTGCAAAGTAATCCTTTCATACCTTTGAGGAAGAAATTTACTCCAAAACATGTGAGGGGGAAGTGCCTGTTATGGTTAACTCAATGAACAGAGGACAATTTAGCTCTCAGATGAGTTCCTGACTCACAGTCAACTACCTTGAGTTATTTTACATTATGCTACATTAAGTTCCAAGATAATTTCTTGATATTAAATTCTTTAAAAAGAGGAGAGTCTCTTACCCTCATAGACCAATGCTTGGTTTAGACTGGTTAAGTGAAAGCGTAGCTTTTAGTGGGGCTTGGGGCAACTTCCATGCACTTTCCTCCCACCGCAGAGGATATGTGGCTGCTACATGGATGGTCATCCTGATGACAGGGGCTGTGTGCTGCTCCCATCACAGGCAAGAGGCAATGGATTTATAGGAAATCCTTCTTTTATTAACCAAATTTTAGCTGCATGTAGCAACTGTACATTCCCAGTTCTCACCTGTCTGAATATATAGCTGGCTAGTGGCTCATCCAAGTTGTGCTGATTATCAATGAATGTAAAGAGATCCAGACCAGATCCATGCTTCTCCATCACCAGCTGGAAGAAGTGCTCATTTTCAAACACATCCAGCACCTATAAATAACAGACTCTTAATCAGGTGCTTCATCCTCAAACTGCCTTTTTTTTTTTACTTAAGCAAACCCTCCTCTCCTCTTGGAGAGTTAATCAACATGTTTTATAATCTTCAAAGTCTCATTTCACTGAGCACAAATGTTTCTTGAAAAAAGAGCAGAATTAAAACAGAGCAGAATTAAAACCAAGAAGAATTCTCTTTCTGAGGACTCCCCCCCCGCCCCAACAACCACCAAACAACGTCAAACCAGAGGAATCAAGATATGTATGCAGATTACTTCCTGAACTAGTACATGTTCAGATGTGACATCACACTTCCAAGATACGCATCTCATCCTCTTGAAATAACATATAGGCTTTTTTTCCTATTAACAGATTTCCTGCTACAGTCAGATCTATGTTGACATCATTTGCTCAGGGTAAAAGTGTTGAAGCCAGTGACAGTCTGCTGTAACATACCCTCCAAACCAAAACAGGATAAGTAGGTTCTTTTCTTTCCTGAAAAGGTAGATTTTAATATAAGACATTTCTTCAGTCCTGAAGAGAAACACGAGACACCAAGTATACAAAAGGAGCCACGTGATGCAGTTCAAACTGCGTTCACTCTGAGTTCACTGTACCTTAATGATATTGGGGTGCTGCAGCTTCAACAGGATTGCAATTTCTTGAGTCACTCTCCCCAGATCGGGATCATCTACCCAGCAGTCCTCAAGCACCCTCTCCTTCCAGATGAACTTTACGACAACCTGCACAGACAACAGCATTCAGCATCAGCTGCAAAAGTATGGCTTTAAGTCATAATTTTTAAGTCATGGTAAGTTAATTTCTAGGAAAAGTGTTAGTGAGCCATATTACTAGAAGTACAGAAGTAAACCAACCCAATGTGCATTGCTTATAATATCTTTAAACATATTTAAACTAATTTAGGCCTAGAAGCCAAGCAATGCACAGAAATCAAATGTATTTATTTTCTTTTTATGGATGCTGTGAAATTCAAAAGCTTTGTCAGGACAGCTCTTTTATCAGTTACAACAGTGTTGACTTCTGGCATAGAGGTACAGTGGAGGGACATGAGCACTTAACACTCATGCAGAGAAACACCAGCACTTGCCTCTCAACACCCAAAATACTTCTGCTGATAGAGGAGGGTCCCATAACCTCAACATGTCTACTCCACATTCTTGAGTTGTGGCATGATAAAGACTTTGAAGTTTGTTGTTCTCTTTAGTAACAGAAAGCCTGTAATTCTGTTAAGCTTAATATATCCTTCTTTCAGCAGGTTAAAGTAGATACATGGCCAGTGTCATTCTGTGCCTGCTATCTTAGATACATTGATATACTGTTATATTCATATACATCAGTGCAAACATTCTGCTGGCCTGTTTCCATGAGGTTAGTGATTTCAGATTTCTATTTAAACAAAGGAAAAGCCCAGCTACCAAAACTCAACTTTTAATAGTGTAGTGTTGACATAACACTACACTATTACTCTAACCTTCAGTTTTCATCCTAAATTATTGCAATCAGATCTAAAAGAAATATTTAACCTCCTGATGATCTTTCTTGCCCCTGGCAGTCCAGACAAAGCCAAAAGATCCTTTGCCAATAAGACTGAGAGTGTTATAGTTTTCTGCATAATCTCCTTCACATGCCCTTAGACCCTGAAGCTCTTCAGCTCCTCGGGAATTCTCGAAAAGTGAAGTTGATCTGATGGTCTAGATACAGAAATAGCAAGAAAAAAAATGAACAAGCCATAGAATCATGTTTATAAAATGAAGTAAATACTGAAGAGAAAGTACACACCTGCAATAGATAAAAGCAGTGTGTCGTGGTTTAAACCCAGTCAGGTAACTCGTTCACTCACTTCCCCCCCTTCTTGCCCTCCCCCTGCTCTCGGAGGGATGGAGAGGAGAATCGAAAAGAATGCAACTCCCACGGGTTGAGATAAGAACAGTTTAGTACCTACCTAAGGTATAACACAAATCACTGCTGCTACCACCAATGATAATAATGATAAAGGAAATAACAAGGGAAGAGAATACATCATCTCACCACCAGCCGACCGATAACTCGCCCCCCCAGCCCGACCAAGCTCCGACCGATACCTCCTCCAACCCTGCAGTCTCCCAGCCCTTCCGGCTAACTCCCAGTTGCATCCTGGGCATGACGTGCTGTGGTATGGAATACCTCTTTGGTCAGTTTGGGTCAGGTGTCCTGTCTCTGCTTCCTCCTGGCTCCCCCTCCTCCCTGGCAGAGCATGAGGCTCACAAAGTCCTTGGCCAAACCAAAACATCGCTTGTTATCAGCTCTGTTCCCGAGCTGAAAGTCAAAACACTGCACTGCACCAGCTACCAAGAAGGGGAAAAATGACTGCTACTGCTGAACCCAGGACATTATCCACCCCTTATTCCATACCATTCACGTCATGCTCAGATCCCACATTTTCAATATACCATCACTCTTATCTCAGTGCACTCTTATCTTAGTGCATGGACCAGTCCCTATAAAGCTGCTGAGTCCATCTGGTCCATGATGTCAGGCTCCATCTCTTGTAACAGTCTTCCAGAGCAGGAGAGACTGTGTGCAGTGTTCACACTCGTGAATAACCTGGGCAATAGTGTCCATTGCTAAGTCCACCCCTCGATCATGAGTCCATCTCTGTGTTGCATCTCTGCTCTGATGGCCTGAAGTGCATTGGGCCCACCAGGCTCAAAATAATTCACTGTCCCCTTCAGCAGTTTCTGCAGCTTGTTGCTGGGGACTCCATACAGCTGCCTTCCATCTCCAATGCTTCCAAAGCACTGGAGGGGCCCAGTGGACTAGATACTTGCCCATACTGTCACACACACCCTGCCACTCCTGGCTGTCCAGCCTTGGGGAAAACCTCTTGGTCCCCCCATATCCTCGTCTAACCCCAGACAAGACCCAAACCTGACTCTGCTTAACTTTTGAGATCAGACAAAATGGTGGTGGGTAGAACACAGCCTGTGTGTGTGCCAACATGCTGATCCCCATCACAATCAGCAGGCAGGTACCAAGGATACCCAAAGGCCATTCTAAACCTTCAGAACTCTCAGTTGATGCTGCTGTACTTGTCACTGGGGCTGGTGCAGCTGCTGTGCTTGCCGGCTCTCCCACCGCCAGCTTCTCTTTTCCTGAGTCCAGCTCTTCCTCCTCTGCCTTGCTGGGAAATGCTGCGTGGTCTCCTGCATCCTCCTGGGGCTCGGCGGGCGGCTGCCGGGGAATGCTCTCGGCCGTCGCGAGGCTGGGCTCGGCCGCGGGGCTCGGCTCCTCCGCGGGGCTCGGCTCCTCCGCCGCCTTCTCCCGCTGCTCGGCAGCCGCCTCCTTCCTCTCCTCGACCGCCCCGACCTCCTCCACCGGCAGCCGTCCCCTCGCGGCCTCCGGCCCCGCTCCCGCCGCCGCTTGGTCCCCGGGGCCGCTTTCCCGGGCCGGTTCGGCTGCCGCCGGCTCCCGGGGCCGCTCCCCCTCGGCTCCCCGCAGCCTCACGAAGATGGAGAGTAGGGTGAGGGCCAGGGCGGTGAGGAGCAGCCGGACGACCAGGTACAAGTGCACGGCCACGTCTGTCCCGCCCTGCTGCTGGAGCCCGCCCGTATCACAAGCCATTGCCATAAAGCACAGTGAGACAAGAACCTTAGCCCAGGCCCCATACTTGATAAACACTAACACAGCAAATACCGGCTCTACGTAAGTTACAACATTCTGAAGCTGTGAGATCAAGCGAAACAACTCTGAGAGCCAATAAATCAGCATTGTGACGAGTGACTATTAATCCAGTCAGATCTGTCGTTATCTCAACCCTTCGTGCCCCACGTTGGGCGCCAAAAAGAACTGTCGTGGTTTAAACCCAGTCAGGTAACTCGTTCACTCACTTCCCCCCCTTCTTGCCCTCCCCCTGCTCTCGGAGGGATGGAGAGGAGAATCGAAAAGAATGCAACTCCCACGGGTTGAGATAAGAACAGTTTAGTACCTACCTAAGGTATAACACAAATCACTGCTGCTACCACCAATGATAATAATGATAAAGGAAATAACAAGGGAAGAGAATACATCATCTCACCACCAGCCGACCGATAACTCGCCCCCCAGCCCGACCAAGCTCCGACCGATACCTCCTCCAACCCTGCAGTCTCCCAGCCCTTCCGGCTAACTCCCAGTTGCATCCTGGGCATGACGTGCTGTGGTATGGAATACCTCTTTGGTCAGTTTGGGTCAGGTGTCCTGTCTCTGCTTCCTCCTGGCTCCCCCTCCTCCCTGGCAGAGCATGAGGCTCACAAAGTCCTTGGCCAAACCAAAACATCGCTTGTTATCAGCTCTGTTCCCGAGCTGAAAGTCAAAACACTGCACTGCACCAGCTACCAAGAAGGGGAAAAATGACTGCTACTGCTGAACCCAGGACACAGTGGTATTTGGTTTTGATAGCAAGAACTGCGTATTGCTGTAAATATCACCATACGGGACAAGCCAACAAACAGCTCTCAGCAGCTACAAATACTGCTTAATTCACAGAAAGGTAAAGGAAACAGAAGCATATGCACCTTAGATGCTTGCACAAAATTCTCTCTGTGAGTAGGAAAATTAAGTCCTTGTGGTCTATCACCACAGGAGACACAAAGAGCAAACAAGTTCAAGGCATACCCTCCTAAATGTTAACATCCCAGTAAAATCCCTAGTAAAGAAACACCACATGCAAGGCCTACAACACTGCATGAAAAATTAACCACAACATAAGTTTGTCTTCCTCTGAGGAGAGAGCTTGGGCTTGTTTGTCTCTGCAATTACTAAGTTCCTCCACCAAAGATGGCATCTACAATGTGTAACAGAACATCTTTATGATATACACAGCCTTCCATCCTGAGAGGAGCCAACAAATCTCACAGGGGCATTTGTTTTGAACAATGAAATTTGGAGTTATACATGGAATTATCAGAATTGCTTATATTTGGACATACATGTACATGGAAGATGATTTTCTAAAAGGAAAAATACTCCAAGTAGTAGGTTTTGCCAATAGCCAAGCTTTTCACTCAAATATCTACTTTATCTCCCATCTCATTGATTAGGCAGGGGAGGGAGCATCTCATCTGCAGTACATTTCAATAAACAGCAGCTCCTAGAGGCTCCTGTAGTTTGGAACCGTCACCACTATACATGTGATATCTATGTATGGACTTCTCTGTTAAGGTCATCATAAAATCCAGCTGTGTAAAGATCTAGAGAATGCATCCATTTATTCAAGGAATTTAGAAGCTCAAGCAGTTTTCTTTTGTTGCCACAAGTCAGTCAGTGGAAGTTTTCAGCCTGGTATTTCCTTTCTTAATAAGGTTCTGTCATTGGTGCCACTGATTTAAAAACCACACTGATGCAAAATTCTGTTGTAGATGTAATTAGAGCGGCCCAAGAACAAATTGGGTGGTTTCATTGTTCAGCCTGGGAAAGGGAATTCCACTAAGCAAAACACACACTACCAGAATGTTACAAAACAGCAATTTGAAACATTTCTTTTGAGGTAAAAATAGTGAAACAAAGAGCGAGCAATATCCACCCACAACCATGTAACATTTTAGGTTTAAAACCTTTTTGACTTTAGCTTCAGCTTAGCAATCAAACAAGGATGTGCTCAGTATTACGCAATGGTAGGATTTCTTACTTCTCCAAGACTATTTGTAGAAAGATCAGCAATAGACTGGACAGAGCTCGCTAGACTGGAGAGCAAAAGCTGACTCTTTGCTCCAGCTTCCTTCTGGCTCTGCAGGAGGTCTTTCACCACCCAGACACAGAAAAGCATGGCAGGGTCCTGCAGTTCTACACGTTTCACTTCAAAGAGTATACCTGTAGAAACAGGTGAGTAAGTTAAAATGGTACAATGAGATTTTAGTGTTGAATGGGATCGCAGACATTTTAGGACAAAATTCTGAGCTCTTATCAAAGTGCCATTATTTATTTGGGGAATACCTACCCAGGAAAGAATCACCAGAGGGGCTGACAACAGCACGGTTACTCAGAGATAGTTGGCGGCTACATCCATGGTTCCCAACCCCCAGCAGAAATTTTTGTCAGTGTTCAACTGTGATTATTAATTTCACATTGCTACTCTAAATTACACCAAAATGGGGATTTTATACAACAAGCCACTGAATCCAGATGAATGACTTAATGAAACACAGTCCATTACACAATTTAAATACAAGTTTTACAATGGAGCTTATAGTTTCTGTTCAGAAAAAAAGTTACTCAGTTCAAGCCTTTTAGTTATGTTTTGAGAATATTTCTGACTATTCAGTCAGGATTAATTGCTTAGTGACTTTGTACTTTATACACCTGCTTTTCTAATACCCTCTGAGTAGACTGTGATACCATTTTTATTTTACATGCTAGAGCTTCTTCCTTCCTCTTCACCATAAGCTTCTAACCAGAACTGTCTGCCTTCTGCAAAAATGTGGGTGGAAAAGAACACCCCAGTAAGAGTTTTGGGAAGGGGAGAAGTAGGCTTAACTTACTTAATTGTGACCCATCTCTGTGGCAGCAACTGCCAGTGTAGCTTCCTTCCAGAATCTTCAAGGTCAAAGGAGCTGCTGGGTTCAGCCTTCCTTCCTGTTTCACTGGGGTTGATGTTATTTTTATGTCCATATTTTGTTGCTTGTGCAGCTGACAGTATTTTTCAGGACTACATGTGCTCTTCAGTGGGTTTCTGTCGATGTTGTCCCCCATGGTCTCTGCAAGAGTTTCAGGCTTCTTAATAAATGCTTTGGAGGATTCTTCAGTCTCTTCTAAAGGCCTTTGGGAGGCCAGCCACCCAGAACCATTTTCTGTAGCAACACCATTCAACAGCTGCTTTTCTTGCCCAGTCGAAAAGGCACTGGTACTCTGAGTTAGTATATTGCCTACACCCAAGTCCACTGCGTCAGAGGATGCTCCTACATGAGTTGCAGTAATACCTAAACAGTTGTCTGAGTGCCTCTTGACATCAATATTCAGACCCAGTACCTCAAGACCAGAGCAAATGCAGTTCAGCTCAGTGTCTGATTCTTTAACATCTTCAGAGGTTGTGGCAACTGCTGCAGAAGCACTGCAACCCATTTTATTTCCTGAACAGACATCATGGATAGTATTTCTTCCATTTGCAAAGAAGGATGAAGCATTATTTAGCAGACAGTGTTCAACCACAACGTGCTCAAGGCTGGAATGTTTTCCATCAAACATGAAGTCTGAGTTTAACAACTGCCCTGTAGTCATATGGTTTTGAAATTCTTGTCTGCAGTCTGGTGGTGTCCCAGACCATCGCTCATCTTTTGTTGGTGTTCCAGGTGAGTTACAAGTGGCATCTGAAGGCAGCTTAATTGGGGCATAGGATTCAGTATCTAGATTGTCTTCTAGCCTAGAACAAACAAGCAACTGTTGTGAATTAAGTTTAGTTAGCTGAATTCCTTTAACTGTGTTCTTTTTGACTGGGTGGCCTTGCTTAGCATGAGTAGTTGCTTAGCATGGGTAGCTGAAGTTGCTGGAGCCTTAAGAAGCAACAACCTGTGCTTAGTTATGTAAGCAAAAGCCAGTGTAAATGACGCCAATGCAAACTGGAAGATAAAGAAGATGCATCCTTAGTAAGGAACAAAAACTGGAGTGACAAGAAAGAATTTCCTGGCCTTCATTTACTATGGCTTCAAGGCCACAAAAGAACTCAATGACAGACGGGAAACCCCAGACCAAAATTCATCATTGGACCAGCAACTGCATGGGATGGTCCAGTGCATAAAATGTTAGGGTATGAAACCTCAGGAATTTCTTTGTTCTGGGTCCCTCCCTAGAGGCATCCAGCTCAAGCAGGTCCTATTCCTGTACCACTCAATTATTACACTGCTTTTCTAAGAATCAGATGTCTGAGGCTGCTGTGGAAAACCCAGGGTGAAGAATTTTCTTTAACAGCAACCAAGCAACATTTACTGTAGCGGCTTGTCCCCAGGCATCAGCAGAGAACTGATGCTTCAGCTTTTCATATGGTAACCTGCAGATCTGATTCTGTCATGGCAGGTTTCAGGGTAAGGCTCTCTGTGGTGGGCTGACAGCCCATCAGTAGCAAGACTGTCTTTACTGCAATGGTTCAAAGTTATTAGTGATAACATGATGGTAAAAGATTGAGAGAACTGCCATACTGTCATATTGTATACTACCTGCTCTTCTGTTACTATGGTCACTATTTAAAACCTGCACCAACTGCTTTATTTTCTGAAGTTTAAAAGAAAAAGCAAAAAGCTGTTGGCACAGACATTCAAGATCCTAACAAATTCCATTTTGACCAAAGAAGAGCAGGTACACTTGAATGGCACTTTTGCCTATGAATTATTTCCTTCTCTAGCTTCATTTCTAAGTATAGATCATAGACAATTTACCACAACAAAAAGTCAACACATATGGCAGGATACTTCCAGACCTCAGAACAGATCCTTTGTCTGTCCAACAGAAGATGGACGTCCCTAACCACCAATTTAACCATGGTTCACTAAAGCCCACAGCACAAGGTATTTTATAAACATTTCTATTAGTAAAAATACAAAATAGAAACACAACCCATGCGAGAGAGCACTTAAAATCCAAATGTGATATGAGAGACATAAACCCAGGAGAGCACAAGGAAGTTCTTGCTCTAAAAAGCAGCAAGAACTGTGCTGTAATAGACTATACATTAAGAAGGGCAGTAAATGTTTTCTGACTGTTAGAATTTTTAATGCAGAAGGCTTAAAATTTGCATTAAGATAAACCTTGTAGGACCTTGAGGAGACTTTCTAACCTTGTAAGAGGAAAAAGACCTGGAAACATGCAATAAAAATGGCTGGATTTAAGTAATACAGTAGCCTGTTTTAACAGATGACCTGACAGCTACACCAAGCACCAGAAGGAACAATACTTAGAATTCATTCCAGGTAACCTGGCTTCAGTGCAACACCAGCTGGTGGATACCACAGAAGGAAATAAACATCCACTGTTTCTGATTTAGCAGAGACAGAGCAGAGTTACCTTCCCTAGTCTGGATGAAGCATTTGGTCCCCTTAAAAGATGGAACTCCTGCAACTTTACAATTGTAGGTTGCACGAATCTAAATTAAAATCTAAGGCAAAACTCAACCTGTCTTGCAAATAGCCCTCAGATTCTAAAAACAGTATAGTGCAAAAGGCTCTTGTTACATATTCCCACAGACATCACAAGGGTGATAGAACAGTTTTTGCTGGTGATTACCATCACATATGTAAATATGCAGTCCATGAAATGCCTACCTATTAGAAGGAATGGGTGCCACTTCAGGAGGTGAGGGAGTAGAAAAGAAACTGGTCACATTCTTTTGTTTAGTCTTATCATGCATTAATTTTTCGTCTTTGTGTCTTCTTTCCAATTTCTGCTCTTCATTCCTTGACAGAAGGCTCAATACAGATGCAGCCAAGAAGCTGCTGTCTGTACCAAACAAGAAACAAAACCACACCAGTTTCACCTTTTGTGTTTAGGCTTCGGAGACTACAGTGATTTAAAACAATCTTGGAAATGCTTTGGTCTGTCTCATCCCTAAGGAACTGAGTATAAAAGACTAGATTAAAGCAAGGTGGTCCAAACACGAATACTCCACTCTGCTTTGGCTTGAGGAATCATCACATGCAGGAACCTGAAAGTTCCAGGGATGCGAAAATTTGTTTTCCTATCAAAGATCCTGGGTTAGCTACTTGAAGTTCAGAGATGTAAAAAAAGGCCAGTGACCACACAGAGACTGGAGTTAATGTTAGACAAATAGCAGCAGCAAAAAAAAAAAAGAAAAAAAAAAAAGGGCAGAACACACATACACTCTCAATTCCAAACACTTTAAATGAAAAGTTTTAGACTGCATTTATAGAACTCACAGAAATTGTCAGACAAAAGTATACAGTCTAAAAAACAGTTAAGGGAAAGAATAAGAAAAGAACTTTCCTTCTCCAGTGACAACAGATCAAAAGAGAAAAACACAAGTGTGCAGGATTAAATAAACCAAATATTGCTGCTGCAGAAGAAGGTAATGAGTAGACAAATCTAGATTTAAATCTAAAAGAATTCTTCCATTTAATAGAGGCTGAGTGCCAACAATGCTTCCACACTGAAGAACTGATCCTAGATTAGAGGTATCACTTCATCAAAGAAATACCCAAGACATCGCACACTGTCTATTAATTCTTCTTTGTTCCAGCAGTGTGCATTGGTTTCAATGCACATGTGCATTTTTAAGTAAAGAGAAAAAAAAAAAATCAGGGGAAAAATACCTCAAAACAACAGAGACAAAACCAGCATAAAAGATTTATTGTGGTAGAGATCACAGAATCGTAGAATACAAGTATGTACTTGGTTGTGTTCTCTCTTTTGGGCAGAGCTAGCTGGAAAGACAGATTTGGAGACATGAGGCTTCCCTGCTTCTGTTTATCCTGTTGTGTGCAGGGAAATAAAATTTTGTTAAATTCTTTGTAAATGCAGTGAACTGCATCACAGGAATATGTGATGCCTCCTACTAAAACTCCACAGCAACATAACACTGCATAGTAGCCAGCAACATAAGCCAATTCAGAAGAATATTAGAATTCTCCCTTAAAATATCAGCCCTGTCTGTAGCTCTGTTGCAATACTGCCACAAAAACTGTATTTTACCTGACTTAAAATACTCAGAGATCCTAACAGCGGAGGGAAGGAAAGGGAAGTGCTTGTTAAGTACAAAGCATTCTCTACTAACAGTGTAATTTCCAACTTGGATATTCAGTTTCATCTTCCTAGCAATAAAGAAAGAAGCACAACCTCAGGTGAACAATTCAGTTTACCTTAGGGTCTTAGTGGAAATCCAATTTAAAAACTGTACAGAGGTACATTGCTTTTATAAAGCATGTTCATATGTTCATAGGCAAAGCTCTCATCTCTGTAATTTGAACTTTGTTGCTTAATGTTATTCATTTTGCTTTGTTAGAGCAACCAGAGCCAGCTGCATGGCAGGCAGTAACATCTTCAAAGATGCACTCACCCTCTGTCCCCATGGAGCCGTCAGGAGGAGGTAATGGCAAAGAACAGTCACTGCTTCTCTCCATGTTGTTATAGAAACCAGGGATCAGAAATGTAATGTTCTAAAACACAGAAGGAAACCTTATAAATCTAAGCTGACTCTCACAGGTTAGGGACAAATGCTAACAATCTGTATTTGTGAACCTGATTCTCATAGATAGCCAGGCAAAAGTGATCCATATGACTTAGAGAGCACATCTAAGTGCGCAGCTTGCTTTTGTGCTAGTTGAGACCCACACGAGCTCCTCAACACTGCAAAACTTATCAATTACAGTAAGGGAATGTAGTTATCATCATACAGGTCACTCACCAAACACGTGAAACACAGGCTTTGTGACAGACATGAGTATAAAAGACAACTTTACGATTCTAACGGATAAACTGCCAGACACAGCAGTCTTTTGGGAGGGATTAAACCTCCTGTCTTACCTTTCCCAACAGTTCTTTCTTCTCATAGCCAAAGAGCATTAAAGCAAAACTGTCCTTGATGCCACAGATGGTTCCATCTGACTTAACAGTAATAAGACCACTGATGGTGAAGAAAACCACAACTGTAGCAGAGTAATGATAGCCTGTGAAAGAGCTGCCTTTTTCTGCCTCCAGAACACCATTTTTCTGCACTGTCACTTCGTCCTCCTCCAGAAGGCTTACTTGCAGCTTTAAACTGAGAGGAAACATGTTACCCTCTCTGGATATGCCTACAGCTCGCTGGATCCTGAGGTTCTGAATTAAAGCAAAAAGAAAAAAACAAACAGGAAACCTCTAACTAACCAAATGGTTTGGTGTTATTTCAGTATTCATATAAAATTACACAGGAACCTTCTCAGGAAAAAGAGAGCAGAAAAAGAAAAACAAACCAATCCTGTGACTACCAAAATTAAGAAAGTCTGGTTTCCTAAGGATTTGGAATCCAGTGTTAAACTCCTGTATGAACAGCCTGATGAAGAGGACCAGGGAAGTCCATGCTATAGCTTTCCAGCAAATAAGGCATTAATACAGCCACTTTCAACTATCTAGCTGGCCATTTTAATGGCATTTGCAGGATCTGCATATCCTTTTAGTCTTTCACTCCTCAGAGTGACATGGCTGAATCCACTGAAGAATGCAAAGGAATTTTAAGGAGCTTTCAGAGACAGCATGGTTTCCTAAAAAAGCCAGGATTGGAGAAAAGTGTCTTTCACCAGGTTCCACAATGAGACGCTGGGGCTTGGTCTCTTTCCTAGAGAATAGTTAGGAAATATTCTGCCAGCAGCTCCATAAATTTTTCAGGGGACTTCTGCTTCTCTCTGAAAAGGCTTTCTTTTTACAGAAGCAGGGAAAACCATGTGCGTCTGTTTTCCAAATGGGAAGGGTACAGAATCATAGAATGGTTTGGGTTGGAAAGGACCTCAAGATCATCTAGTTCCAACCCCACTGCCATGGGCAAGGACACCTCCCACTAGACCAGGTTGCTTTGGAAGAACATGGTTGGTGCTTATACTGTACCTTTGGGACTTTTTTGTCTAGAGGAGGGATCTGCACAGAAGGAATCAGGTTCTTTATATGGAGCCCAACTACTTCTTCCAATGTTGGGTAGCCATGGAGATGGGCAAAATGGAGGTCACATGATGTAATCTCTCCCTTGGGAAGAACATTTATTTTAATTTTAGCATTTTAGCCACAGTCCACTCAATCTCTTAACAACAGTTTTGGCAAATATCTAAGCAAATGCAGGAAGTTTCATTCTGTAGCCCCTTCATGGATAAAACTGACACAGCATAATGCAATACTACACCAACATGATCATGCAGACAGCCTGCCTCTTGCCATAGCAGAAAAGCAAGGGTGTCCAGTGCTCCTCACAATGCTTTTCCTCAGCAAGCTGATCCCTTCACAAGGGCACCCCTGCCATGAATAACCAACCCCCTGCCAAACCATCACTGTTCAAGTCTAAGATGTCCCTGAAGGAGAAACAGGGTATTTTAATGTGACTTGTTGCATATGTGAAGGTGAGCCGTATGGGAGACAGATGCACAGGTCCTGCATGTGCAATCCCCATTTCAGGCAGTGCTTCATGTTCACAAACAGTAACATGCCTACTGGCTTTTAGACACATCTCATTTGCACATCAACTCTCACAAACTGCGGACTCGTTTGATCATTAGGAAAACACTTACATCAACTGTGAAGGAAACAGAAGCTGAGAGTCTTTCCACTGGTTCCAGCACAAACACACAACACTGCTTGTCCTTGCTTCTTATTTGCCTCAGCCAGACTGAGACAGGGATCTTCTCTTTGAGATGGCCTATGACATCCACCTTTCCAAAGGATTCAGAAATGTAGTCAGAACTTACTAGGTTACTTAGCAAGAATTTTAAACAAGAATAAGACATTAAGCCAAGAAATATCCCTGTCATTGTGAGAAAAACATTGTTTCTTAACTACTGGTTCTTTCACTGGAAGAAACACAGTTTTAATATAGAGATGAAAAGGTTTGCAAATAATTCACTGATGATACACAAAATGTTATTGCTTTTGTACCTTCTCTTGCTGCCTCAGGAAACCTAAAGGCATTTCCTTCAGCATGAGATATGTGCCAATCTTACACCTTGCATTCAGTGAAAAGTGCCTTTCAGAGATGCCTTGTTTAAGGAATGTCCCCTGGTGCTAATGAATACTAATATAACTAATGTTACATTAGTAGCATAGCTCTTACTTTCAGCTGCAAAAACAGCAGTTCAGTTTCTTATGGGAGGAGATTCTTCTTAAAGCAGAAAATGGTTATCTTATAAGCTGCAGTGTTCCTAATCAAGCCTTTTATCATTTTTATGTGATCTTGACAAGAAGGGGTTTATAAATTACACAGTGACTCCCATAAAGTATAGGAGCATATAGCCATTGGAATGGCTGTAGCTTTGAATTAGTGCCTTTATCAGACGTTTAATTTTAATCCTGGATTTCAGTGAATCAAACTTAAAATATTCCGCCTCCCCCACCCCCATGCAATTAAGGATTCAGGAAGATCAAGCTCAGAGATGCTGGCAATTTCAGTATGAAAATAACACACCAAGAAGAATATGAGCTCATTTTCAAAGTATTTTCTAGTGACAACTCACAAAAGCAGTGGAAAAAAAAATCATTTGGAGACATTTTTCATGCAGCTGTCTTATAAACAACCCTGCTATAGGCAAAATATCAATTCCACTCCTTTGTGCCAACTGGGGTGTTTTGGCACAGACATTTCACAGTATTTGACTTACTGTAACTTTGTGATATGCGCAATGCAATTTAAAATAATTTTAAAAGTATTTTAAAAGACCAGACAATAGGGAACTTTTTCATAATAGGTTTTTTCATGATAAGCAATTGTACTGATTTTCTTTTTTTAGAAAATCTAATGTCCCTTAAGTTCTGGTTTGGTCAATCATCATGACTATACATGCTGGCAGCTGCAAGGCTCTCATGGGTGCCTCTCAAACCATCTTTTGCCCTTTGAATTCCCATATCTGCAAACTTTTAAACCAAGTAGTCCTACAAATGCCATAATTGCCAAATCCCCATAAAGTTAAATATATCAGGGAATTATATTGAGAATGTTAACAAACCCCAACCAACCAAACCCAAACCAGACCGTACAAAACCACTGTATATGGTGGCGAATATTTTCTTGAACTTTTCACATACCACAGTTCCTGAAACTACAGATGAACATTCATCAGTTTCTATGTAGTCCTCACCGACAGCTTCCCATGCCTCTTGACTGGATTTGGATATAAAGTGGGACAGCTTTTGACCAATGAGTTCCTGACTGCTGCACCCAAGGAGCTTGCAGGCTTTGTCATTAGCCACCAGGATCTAGAAAAGGGGAAAAAAAACCCAAGCAAATCACCAAAACAAAACAAAGAATAAAAGCTCTAAGTTGTGTTCACATATCATCATCTCCTCAGGCTGTTGATTTAATGTCTTATAATATCCCTTCCTCCTGGTGGTTCTTTAAAATTCTGCATTCTTCACAAACAGTTCACTAATGCTTCTTATTCTAGGATATTCCTTGCCCACACATCTTCTTGGTTAAGAGGGTTTGAGACTTTGCTTTCCTTTTAGGTTTCCTGATTTCTTTTAAATGTAAATAATTACACCCATAGAGGAAAAACTAGAAGTTGTATTTACAAGCAAAGCCTGGGCAAGCCACAGAATTTATCCCTGAAGGCATGCAGCAATCACACCAGTCATTGGCATACTTAAGCCTGTGCTATAGAGCAAATCAGAATTAGACACCTTTAAGATGGGTAAGCACGAACTGTCAGTTCAAGCTAAAAATGGCACAGCTCTTTAAAGTTTTTTGTACTCAAATTAATATTCATGTTTACTCTCAGAATAGGAGAGAAATTCTCTCCCTCCCAATGCAAAAAAGGATATTTATAGGGCAGATAGAGACCTCATGCCATCACAAACCCATCCCATGGCTGGCGCTTAACAGGAAGAAGGCTTGAAGCACCTTCTGTTTTCCTTTCTTCCTTCATGCCACTCCACAGCTGCAGTCTTCTTTATTCCATTTTTGTTTGAAAAAAGATTCAAGACAGCTGTGCTTCTGCTGCTGCCTTGTATATTTTGCTAATTACAACCTGCAATTGAAGTAAATGTGTTGCCTTTATAAGGCTATTGAGTTTGAGCAGACTATAAAAGACCTTCATGTCACTCCAGCTGCCTTCAGATACGCATAAGAGTAACACACCTTTCAGCCTGTCTGATGTCATACAACCTATACCAGTTACAGCCTGTTTAGTTTAGCACTTACTACTGCAAATACCTCTGTTGTGTTGGCATCCACAGTGAAGATGGCTTTGTTTGGGTTGCGTGCAGCAGTTGGGAGATACTGGCTGGACTCCTCAGTGAGGGTGAGCAAACAAGAGCAAGAAGAAGAGCTTCCAATGGAAGTGGAGAGAGAAGAAGCCCTCTGAGCTCCTGAGTTACCAAGTTTGCTGGTACAAATGTTATGAGCTGCCAGTGAAGACAAACAGTAAGAGCTCCATTTCTCTCCTGTGGGAAGATAAAAATCAAGATCAGCTATGTAGCTCTACCACTCTACTACAGTATTAGGGAATGAATAAAAAAAAATTAGCTGTCAGCTGAAGCAACAGTCAAGTAATCCCAAAATACATATTCCTAAATCTTTAAAGAAATTACAAGAAAATAGAATCAATGAAACTAAGGAAAACGGAAACAGTTCTAATAAACATGTCTTTGAATCACAGCCACTGGAACAATTAAACTCAGTGTGTAGGCTAGAAAAAAATTGCCAACACCCATAAAACTCAACCAGACCAGTTCACCTTTGTTTTTCACTTAACAGAGTTTAAAAGGTTTTAAAATCCCTCAAGATTGAAGCTGTTACTAAATGCAATTACAGTAAGTGTTCCAGCCCCTATTAAATACTGCATTAGTCAGAATCCAGTTAATTAACTGTTCAGAGGATGTGACACTGAAATACCTGTGCCCACACCAGTATTTTGTGTTACACAATACCAAGTGACTGTAGTGAAATTTTCAAAGCTTTTGCCTGTAAAAGATGTTTTCTTGGGAAGTGGCATCAGCAGCCAAACGCTATCACTCCACTCCCAAAGCAGGAAGCAGCTCTGAATGTCTAGCAGTAGTAGACATTCAGTAGACTGGTAGAAGTATTATGAACAACTCATCACAAGGACGTCTCTGCACTTATACACTAAGTATACACACTGCATACAGTACGAATATCGTAATCATGATAAAGCAGGGAGACTTGTATCTGGATGCACTATGAACTGCAAAGAACTATAAACTCCCAACAGAATCCAGAGCAACATATATCTTCTCATTTCAAACTCAGGACATTGCAGGGCGGTCCGATGACAGCCAATAAAGGTCGCCCAGGGACAAGTACAGGTGCAAATCACCTATCCAGCAACACCTCTCCTGTAAACTCTCCCAGCCTGCAGTAATCTATGGCTCAGATATTCATTGAGCAAGCACTTTCTGGCAGCTACTTATTGCTATCACCTCTAGGTCTGGGAGGGAGGAGGAGAAAGATCTGCAACCTTCTGAAACACATCACCTTCACTGACAACAGGTGAACTTGATCTCAAAATACAGTGCTCACCAGAGAGAGATGCTCTAAGCCGGCAGAGTTGAGAGAGCTGGCTTTTCCTGATTTTGCTGGCCCAGGGGTAGGATCGATTTAGCTTATCAGAGTCATTCAGGTGAGCACGGTCTAAGCCTACTGATGAAGGCAGAAGGCTCCCTTCAGAGTGACTATAAGCCTCGGCTGCCATTATCACCCTCTGGTTGCCACACCACACCTAGGGAGCCACCATCTGCAACAGAAACAAGAAATTCAGTCAGGCACTACCGCTTTGATCACTGACAGGTAACAGTTCCTTCTAACCCAAAGCAGCCCTGTAAGCTATGGCAAGACTCCAGCTCATTCTTGCATGTCCCAATCAACTTTTTGTCTGTGTTCGTTAACGCAAAAGTTAACAAATAGCCAACTCTCTTGACTATTACCCTGTCCACGCAGTATAGAATACCTGTGATCGACAGGACACCTCCATCATATTCTGTAAGAGCCCCCAAGCACCCAGCCGGACACGCCGTCCCCGTTCTTGCTCCAAAGTTTTGAAAGCTTTGGTAGTTTGGAAAGTTATTCCAGGTTTGGGTCAGCGAATGCGACACCGCCAGCCCGCCTGCCTCCTGCCTCCCGTAGCCCGAGCCCCAGCCCCAGCCCCAGCCCCTCAGGGCGGTCACCACACAGCCGGAGGGCGCGAGGAAGTAGGGGGCGGGACTGGGCAGCCGCGAAGACCAATAAGCGAAGGCAGGGGAAGAGCGGCAAGGAGGGGAGCCAATGGGAGGCTAGCGCGGGAGAAGGCAAAACTGACCCTGAGTCACGGACTCTGCGGCTCCCTCCTTCCCTCACCGCCGCGGCCACCACACACCCCGCTGCGAGCCACCGACCCAGGACAGCTCTGGGGCCCCCGCTCCGGGGCTTAGAAAGCTGCATGCGGAAGGCCCCTCCACAGGATGACAGCTATTCTCCAAAGAATTAGTAGGCGGAGCGATAAGGCCGAAGCACTGTTTGAAAGGGGCCCGGTTCCCAAGCCCCACAAGGACAGCCCCAGTACCCGCCCTACCCATGGGCATACATAACTTCCAAACGGCCGCGAGGGCACGCAACCTCTGCACTGCCCCGCCCCCAGGCCGCGCTAACTGCAGATGATTGGCTGCGGCGAGCCACCAGCGGCGGGCTCTGATTGGCTGTGACGCCGCTTGAGGCGGTTTCCGGAAGGGGGCGGTGGGAGGAGAAGCAATATGGCGGCGGGGAGCGGAGAGGTACCGCAGGAGATGATGGAGGGTGAGGAGAGTCCTCTGGGGCTAACACGGTCACGGTAGCTGAGGGGGTTGGGAGGGCTCGCTGCTTGGGCACCGCCGCTCGGCGGGGTGGCTGCCAGCTGCGCGGGATGGGGCACTCCGCTCCCAGGCAGCCCTTGGGTTTACACCCCGAGAGCGGCTTCCCCGGGGGGACGGGGCTCTGGTTGGCCGCCGACCCGGGGCGGCTGCCCGAGCCGTGAGCCACTCTGTGTGTGTGTGTGTATGTGTGTATGTATGTATGTGTATGTGTTACCTGGGTCATGGAGTGGTGCCTTTCCTCGCCCCGGCGGCTCCGCGCGCGAGAGGTGGAAGACGTGGGTTTGTGGAGAGGACTCTGATGTAAAAAATGATCAGGAAGAAATCCCCAGGTGTTGCTTTTCCTCATTCGCCCATGAAACGAGAATAAACGGGGGGGATGAAGATCAACAGGGGACTTCAGGTCCTCAGGACCAGGGTAGCCACTAGAGCTGTGGCTGGGTAAATGGTGAAGGGAGCTTGTAGGTTGTGCAGGGGAGATGGTTGCTTTTATCTGCAGGGTTTTATATCTTTTTTAATTCTTTTGTCTTCACTTCTTTGTGTCATTGGTACTATTGTACATGATACTGATTTTTTTTTTTTTTCCTAAAAGCTTTTAAAATGTAATAGTTCTAATTCCATCTCAGTAGTCTTTGGAATTGCACTTCATTGATCTAAGAAATTTCCTTTTTCCTCCAGTCTTCTTCCCAGATTGTTGGTTTTAGGAAGATGTGATGGGAGGAAAAAGTGCATCCAAAATCAAAGTAGAAACAAGGGGTAAGAGGCCTTTTATTTAAGACTAAACCTTTCATTTAGTTAACTTAGGACTTCTACTAACTGCATAGTGGTGTATGTGAATCTTGATTATTGTATCTGCTTGCTACTTCTTCCCCCTACCCCACTGATGAAAATAGCCTAATTTTGCTATTATGTATCTCACACAGTTGATAAGCGGATTGAGTCAGAGGAGTCAGGAGACGAGGAAGGGAAGAAGCAAGCAGTTCGCTTAGTGACAGACCTCAGTCAGCAGAGCCTGAGAGATGAGCAGAATGGAGAGAACTCCACAGGTACCTTGACAATGTAAACGGTCACCTTAGGAAGTGTTGTCTTACCAGTGTGTCCAGTTGCATGTGTGTGTGTCAGTGTTCTGTGTTTCTTGTGGCTATGTGATGGTTGTATTGATGTGAGTTAACAACATGAACCTGCCTTAGACAATCTTCTTTAAAAATAAATAAATGGTAGTGTTATTGCTAAAATAAAGCTGCCTTCTTTGTATGGAGCCACTGATATTAGACCTCTGGTGTTTTCTTATTTATTTATCCGTCTGTGTTTCTTTTTGAGATCTTCAATATCAAAATGCAAAACACCTTTACTCATGCTTTTGTGGAAACATAGTAACTTTCTGTGTAAAGATGCTGTAAATGTTTATTAGAAATTAACATAAGCAGCTTTTCATAATTCTGCTTTAGTGTATGTAGTTTTTTTTCCTAAAAAGTTGCCAGATTGCTTTGGAAGGCAGAGACTCCTGTTTCTATATAGATTGAGGGAAGCTGTCAGTTTTTATTTCCTAGATTTAAAAAGTCTAAGACGCATCAAAATTGCATTTTTTTTGAATCCTCTTGACTTTTGCTGCTGTTTTTATTGCTCGGATTAGGGCATTGGGTAGAAATGCTGACAGACTTTTAAGCCTGTGCATGTTTGATGGAAAGGTTTGCTTTACAGTAGCTTGTATAGACTCTGTCAGAGCAGATCCATTTCTGAAGATGTATGGCAATATGACCTGGGCTTCTGGTGCTAGCTAACAATCTGAGATATAACAGCATCCTTTTTATAGAGATGTTCATGTGATTACTATTGGTATGGAAATGGAAGTGAAATAATGGAGCAAATTTCAGTCTCTTTTTGACTATGCACCTGCTGCATTTCTTGCCTAATCTTCACTTTGCCCATTAGAATCTTAACGAATCTAAATGAGTTCTGTGTAGGTCTAACTCATTGTTAATTGCAAAAAAAAAAACCCCACACCCAACCCTATATATTAATTACAGCATGCTGTGGTGATGACTGTAGAAGTATTCAGAGCTCACCTCACAAATTGTATGTCCCAGGTACTATATGATTAACACAGCCATGCAGATCAGTCGCAGTTTTCCTTTGCATGCACAACCCTGAGTATTTGTTCAGCTGACAAAATTTAGCTGAGAGTTTGAGGTTATATATTTTTATGCTGCTCCTCCAGAAATTGCAATGCTGGAGAATATACTTCAAGTGATGCACTGTTATTCCAGTGAAAGCAAGAAAAATGCATTCAGATTTGGTGCTGAATTACACTGACATTATTTAATATAAACACCGTATCGTTACTACTTCTTCCAACGTGTTAGGATTCTGAAAACTTCTAGGGCAGAAACCAAGCAGAGGGATAATTTTGGAACATTTGCGTTAGCTTCCGTGCCAGCTTTTGAGTTTCTTGTTTGAATGGAAACTGAAGAGTTTTCTACATTCTTCACAGAAGGTCAGAAATAGAAAGAGCTACAGCAGCTGAAATTTCAACTTCATCATTTATCTGATTCTCTGAGGAATAGTGCCTCTGCTCAGAAAGCTTATAACTTGGCTATTTATAATATGTTTCATGCATATGCAGTTAAGTGTAGTTAGGCTTTTAGTTGCTCTAAATGCTTGTGGTACTGTGAACTTATGTAACTCAGTAACTACCGCTCCATACTGCGGAATCTGGGTTTCCTGAATGCTGTCTTTTTTTCCTACATCTCCAAAGCTTGTGCAGCCTGCAGGCGTGGGTTACACAGGAATTCACTGAAGTAACTTCAGTGCCACAGCAACGTTTTATTCCCCCTTGAGAAACCTGCTGCATTAAAAAGTGTGAACTGAAGCACTGTTTGTATACTAACTGCATGCAAGTGAAATTGCAGTTCTGCTTGGTAAAGTGATGATAAAAAAGGGTCAGTTTAGAGTGTTCTGTGTCCGCTTGGTTCATAAATAAAACGTTGGTTGACAATTGATAGGACTGTAAATTGGGTAGAACCATTTTTCTCTTCTTTGAGAGAAAATGTAACGTTTCCATGCTCATACTGATTTATCTGTGTTATCACTATACACCCATCACTTAGACTGCTATGTGGGAGAGTGTTTTATACACAGTACATAAACTTTAAGAGTTAGCCTTGTTACATGAGTGCCTCCAGTTTTAACATGGTTTTATTTCAGTGAATTTGATACACATATCCTGTGTGATGTGGTTTTGCACCTTTGGACCCGAGTGCCTTTTTTTCCTCAGGCTGGCTCTACCAACACTGGTTGCTTAAAGCCATATGGCAAAAAATATGAGGAGCTATCCTTTCACAGATCCCAGAACAAAGCATTTAGCATATTGCGAAGGCTTCATATGTATGAAGTGGTCTGTAGTGGCTGCTGTGATGAAACTCGTCATTTTTCTGCCACCCAAACAAGGCCAAAGTTTTTTTTACCAGAGTTATTTTTTTTTGGAAGAATTTATTTTTTTTATTTACAGAGTGCATGACTGGCTTTGGTTTGGTAACTTTAAAGTCTCAAAAGGATAAATTTGTTCACCATAAGCACTAACTACTAGTACAGCTTAATACAAGGAGAACAGTTTTGGGTTTTATGTGATATCTGAAATAATTGTTGTTCCAGATTTGGACCATGTTCCTGTTGGCTGTATGTTCAGCTAGGTACTTGTTTGGCTTGCAGCACTTTGTGCTGGTGGCCTTTGCACCCTAGAAATAGGTCAAATAGATGCAGCCTTGGTAGCAGCAGGATAGGGTGTCCCACTGCCCTGCTGAAGTGCACAGCTCCTCATCTGGAAGAAACATAAGAAAATCCAAATATTGTCCACTGCTAAAATGCTGACAGGTGTGTGTATGTATGCATGCATGTCAGTTTTGGTGGCATTTCTATACCACAGTTAAATGTCACCAAACCTACCGGCTCATTTTGCATCCCCAAAATACCATTTATGCTTCCTACTAATTTATGCTATAAAGAATATTAAAATGAAGGACAGAGGATTGCTTTTCAGTTGTAACTTTGTGAGTCAGTTCAGTTAGTGCTCTTCCCTGTTGAAATGCCTGATGAGTAGCCCAGATGCAGCAAGGTAAATGATGGTGCATGGAGCTATCAAAACCTTGGCATTTGATAGCAGTATTAAAAACTATAATGCTTGTACTGTTCATCCTTACAGTACTACTTAATGGTGCCAAGCATCAGTAGGTAAATACTTGTGAAGTATAAGGGACATTTGGCATTTACAAGAATGCTGTAACCATGCTGA